CGTGGAGGGAGCTCTTCACAGGCTCGTGGATGAAACCAATGCGGAGCTAGAGGAGCTCTTCGCGAGAGATTGTCACGACCGGACTGAGAGACTTCTCAAGCTCGGGGCACGGTTCTTCCTCGAGTTTGAGAACATCCATCCTTTCAAGGATGGGAATGGGAGGATCGGGAGAGTACTGCTCGCAAAGCTATTGCAGTCACTTGCGCCGTTCCCGAATACCTTGTTGGTGGAAAGTATGAAGCAGGACCCTCCGTTTGTGGACGGGGATGACTACCGGGAATGCTTCGAAAAGAGCACGAGTTCGATCGTAGCGAGGAAGGTGGCGCGCTGACACAGAGCATGAAAAGAGCTTGGATCGATCGTATGATCTTTACCGAGATCAGAGAAGACATGGCCATCTGAGACGACGTTGTAGTGCATGTAGGAATTACTCGTGGTGTCTGGATGCTTCGGAGTTGATCGACAACACCAGCACCGTTCGAATGTGATCGAAGCTCAGCTTGGACAACCAGAACAACCACAAGTAGTACGATGACCAACATCGAGGCTGGAAGCCTGCTCGGTATGCTCCCCTCAATGACTGTGACGACGATGAGATAGGCCCTTAAGGCAAAGGTGGGGTAGAGGAACGAGCTGAGAATGGACTTGTCGCTGGACTTCTCGACGACAGGCCCAGGCCCGAGGAAGAGGCCAAGCAGTAGATACAGGAACGTTGGTAGAAGCCCAAGGAGGAGCTGACATGGAACTGGAAAAAAGTCTGGAACACAACCGCGAATGGCCAGGAAAGCCATGCTGGTACCGAGATGATGTTATTGACGGACTCTTGCCTGTAACACAGGGAGATTTTGAGCTGAAGCTGGTGAGCGTGCCTCCGGTGCATGCTATCAGGTAGAAGCCCGACACTGCGATGACCCAGCGATTGCTGGCGATGGAGAAGAGCTCCCTCGCCATTGCTAGAGCCATTGCCGACTTCGCAGGTAATAATCGTTTCTTATGCTTGTTCGTATTGCAGTCCATGTGACGCCCCGAATGCAGCCGTCGCTTGCGTGGACGATCTTTTCGTTTCTCAAAGCACACTAGAAAACGTGACAATTGCGAAGGTTCGTGGATTTTTCCGGTGGGTCAACTAAGTTGAGCTTTGACGCTTGATGTGGATCCGAGGCAGGCCGCATGTGGACGCTGGTCAGATCACGGATACGGAAAGGTCCACAAAATGGTCTTGAGCGGGGGCGGATCCGAATTCGGCGCAATGGTAACGTTCTTAGCATCTTCGTGCTGCCCACTTGAAAATTGCAACTATATAAGCAGGGCACTGGGGGGACACGGATATCCGCATCTCAAAGTTGAGAAAGCCTTACATTTCCATTTTTCATCTTTGAAGCTTTCTTGCTTACACAGTTTCATCCATGGCTGGCATCAAGGCATTTGTTGACAGCTGCAACGGGACGCTGGACAGCGTTCCGGACAGATACATGATGCCGAATGGAGCTGCCGATGTCTCCCGGTACGCGGTGCTGCCGATAGTCGATCTGGCGAGCAAGAGCTTCGAGAGGGATCTCGTTGACGCTTGCGCAAAGTACGGAATGTTCTACGTAAGTTTTCAAGAAGTGTCTTTTTCCTGTAGTACATGTTTGCTAAATGGATGTACTTCTTGTTCAGCTCAAGAACCACGGCATTCACACCGAGGACGTGATGAGGTGTGCTCTCGAGTTCTTCAACTCGCCCAGCGAGGACAAGATGCGGTACTACACCGAGGAGATCTTCACGCCCGTCCGCTACTGCACCAGCATGATGCCTTCGAAGGAAGAGAAGCTCGAGTGGCACGACCACCTCCAGATGTGGCTCAAGGAAGAGTCCCTCGGAGCGCACCCCTGGCCCGCGTTCCCAGCCAGCTACAAGTCAGTATCTCACTCCGTGATTATGGTATTGCTCTAGATTGCTGATGCTCTATATGCAACAGGGACGTTGGATCCGAGTACGCCAGAAACATCTTCAAGCTCGGGAAGAGGATGCTGTTGGTCATGTCTGAGGGACTTGGCCTCCGCACAAACCGTCTTCTGGAAGCATTTGAAGACATGGTTCTTCTGACGAGAGCCAACTTCTATCCGGCTTGCCCGAATCCGAGGCAAGCCTTGGGGATGGAAGGTCACACCGACAGTGGTGGCCTCACGTTTGTGCTCCAGGATGGAGTCGGGGGATTGCAGCTCAAGCAAGGCGAGGATTGGTACAATGTGAGGCCACTCGAGGGAATGCTGGTGGTTAACATGGGCGATCAGCTAGAGGTACCAGCAGTCGAAAACTTTTTGAGAAACTGTGGATTGATCTTAGTCTTGGTTGGTTGTCTTGTATCAGAAGCTGAGCAATGGGAGATACAAGAGCATACTGCACAGGGTGATGGTGAACTCGAAGAGCTCGAGGCTGTCCGTTGGGGCGTTCCTGGGGCCGTCACTAGATGCGGAGATCAGCCCGATTCCAGAGCTGGTGAGCCAGGAGAGTCCGGCAAAGTACCGCAGCAGGACTTACAGGGACTACATGCACGAGGTGTACACGGAGCACTTCTCCGGGAAGAATGTCTATGTGGCTTGAGCCTTGGATAGTCATAGGCACCAATTTTTTTCCTCATCTCACAGATTTTTGCTCACAAGGATCTTAATGTGATAAGCCACATACGAAATTTGCTCCCTTGACCGACTGTGTGCTGCCTAGAAGGTCGTAAAAGCTTAACAATCACACTTTGTGCTGCCTAGAAGGTCGTAAAGTTTAACAATCTGCGAAGGAATAAGAGAAATTTTCGTTAACGGGTGTCTTATTATATAAATAATTTATAGCTGAATTTTTGTAACGTTCAGGTGTCCACTCTTTTTATTTTCATTGGCTTTAGATTGTTAGCTGTGTCAAGTCCAGTGAAAACCACACCGGCAATCAACTAGAACTTCGATAGAAAATTAAGTGTGCTGGGCGGGAACGTGAGCGTGGGAATGGAGGGAGAGAGAAGACTTCCACAACAAACTTGCAAACTTGTTTGCTCAGTCTCATGCTTTTTGTTGGGCACTCCAAAACAGAATATAGAATAAAATAGATTATCCAAAGGAAACCTGAAATATACCACATACAAGATCCTGGGAGCAGTCGGCTGCGGCTTCGTAGGAGTATCTCGGAGGTGTCCGAGATACTCCTCAGAAGTTTGGCATTGGACGGCCGTTCGTCTTCGCTGCTGTGGTTGGCTCTCTAGCGCTCGGCAACTTGCTCATCGCCTTGGGCCTTCCCGGTGCGTTGTACATCGGCTCCATCATCATACATCGCAAAGGGGATTGGGACGTTCGTCCTGTCGGTGGAAGTTGGGGGTGTGTTCTACGATCGGCAAGCCAGGAGATATCGGGGCCCTGACACGCTGGAGACCGGGCTCTTGTGCCACGGTGCCAAGTGCTACAGCGAAACCTTCTTCGTCATGGCCGCCACCTGTTTGTTTGGGTGCGCCATTGCCGGAGGCGAGGCCCAGGTTGATGAGAAAAGTTGCTGCTGCTGACGATGCTAGCAGAGCTCTCATCTTCCAATTTTTTTTTTTGGTTCCAAGCTATACAAGAACCAAAGACTTGAAATTAGCACCCAGAACCAAAGAAAAACAAGAGTAGAATAGGATGAATGCGTTTTAGAAATAGAGAACTCGCCGGAGGGCGACCAAATGCTTTATTTCTCATTCCACTGGAGGGCCGTGCATTTCAATCGGAGGGAAGAATGCTATCATCCAGCGCCAGAGCGCTTGGGATCGGTCGATCTATAATGCAGGATCACCAGAGCCGTGCCTTTAAACCTGATGATCGCCACAAGCCCTTTTAGGGCTTTTTTGCCCTTTTGATTTAGTTTCCTAATCTAATCTAATCTAATCTCGTGTGCTGTTTTCCATGAACTCCGGCAGGAAGAACCACGTCGTCATGATCGTGGGTGTGGGAAGAGCCTGTGCGGACACCGCTGGAGCATTCGATCCGCTAAAGCAGAACGCCACGAAGGTGAAGATCCCCTCGGAGATAGACCCGGTGGTGATTGCCCAAGAGGGCGCAGGAAGTTCGCCGATGCGAAGCACGATTTGATCATTCTTGACACAAGTGGAAGACACAAACAAGAGAATGAGGAGCTTGCCGCTGCTAGAGTCTTTTTCTTGGCTTAAATTAATGAGGATACTTAGCATTTGCTCTCGAACTTTACAGAACCCCGATTTGATCATTTTCGTCATGGATAGCAGCATATGGCAAGCTGCGAATGATCAAACACTGGCCTTTATAGAGAGCGCTAAGGTCGGTGCTGTTATAATCACCAAGATGGATGGCCGTGGCGGAGCTCTTAGTGCGTAACTATTCCTTTAAACCTTGACAATTGCCTTTTGGTTTTCCAGTAGAGAAAAAGCTTTTGTCGGTAACTTCTAATTCGACTCCACATGTCTTTCCAGGCATGGGAGATATAGCTGGTTTTGCTGAGAAAATCAAAGAGGTTGTTCCAAGTGAATTGCAGCCAGAGTTGGTGTAAAACTTGGTGGATGGAAACATCAGTTTTAAATTCTTGTGCGATCAAATCGAGAACATTACTAGCATGGGATCTCTAAGGATCTTACTATCTCGAGAACCGCTAATTTTTCGATTGTGTGTGCAGCTCATGTCCATGATTCCAGGATTCAACAACGTAAATATGCAGAGTTTTGACACTCAACAGTTAAGAAAACTCTACGAGAAACGAATCTGACTCTCAAACTCTGGCTTTGATTTGAATGCAAAACTAAGGTATTGAATTGCAGAATGAGTTTGTTGGAATCTCGTATACTCCGAATTGCTAAGGGCTCGGGAACTAGCATTAAACAATGTCCAAACAGATCAAAGGCCTGAAGCTCAACAAGAAAGGGGACCTTCTCAGAAAGAGTAAGATGCTGCCGGCAAACATGGTGAAGCAATTTAGTGGAATGGGAGGGCTCCAAACTTTGATGAAGCAATTGCCAAGATAGAAATGATAAAGGATGTCCAAACAATCTTTTGCATGTCTTCACTCGCATAGAGTGTTGAGTGTCTTCACTCACTCCATACGTCACTTACAGCAGGTGGTCCGACCCAAGACTAGAGGGACGGAATAATGCATGTAGATAGGGACTCTCTCTCTGTTCTGTATATTCTTGCAACATGGACTTAGCACGAGATAACAATTTGATCAACTTATAATGGCTATGGATACGATGTTTTCAGTGTAACTGTACGATTGAAAACTAGTTTCTCCGCCGAGGAGTCGGGATCCACGCAAAAATATCCTGCATAATCCGAATTGTCACGATTTGAGCCAAAGGAAGTTAAATACCTGTTCGCTCGAACTGGAACCTATCCCCCGGCTTCGCCGTCCGCAGATTATCCAAAGCGAATGCCCCGTGTATGACTTGCTTTGAATGGGGATTGAGGTCCTCTAGCCAAGTGTCTTTGAGTTCCGCAGGATCCTACACAGCCATGATCAAACTAGAGAGTTATCACCGCTTTAACACGTTCTCATACCTCTGACAGGAACAATCTGTCGAAGAGTCTCACTTCAACTTCGAGAGGGCGCGCTCCTTCAGCAGGTTCGGGAACCCAGTGGAGAACGCCCTGCCAAGGAACATATAAAACGATTAGTAAGCACAAGATTTATTGCACAGAGTAGACCTTGGGCTTGATGCTTTTCTTGGCGTCGTACGTGGCTCTTATTTCAATGACTTCGCCATCCTTATCGCACACATAGTCGACACACGTGATGGGGTACGCATATCTGCACTCGAATGCTCTAAGGTGATTGTTCCAACTTCAAGAAAGCGTACCTCAACAAGGCTGATTTTCCTTTGGCTAGCCCGTAGAAATCCTTGGAATCCTTCGTCCGAAAGTCGGAGCGCTCAATATATACAACTCTTGTAAATGGCATCTACAACATGCAAAGGAAAAAATAAAAAACCATCAAGGAATCAATCCACAGAAAACCTTGTATGTAGCCGACGGGTCATCGGGCAACCTCTTGCCTTCCACTTCTTCAGCAGCTTCCAGATTCTCAATGACAACCTAAGGGGGAAATAAAGTGACTCTAAACTCACGAAGTTTTTACTCGTACCTTCAGTGGATGGAGAACCACCATAGTTCTTGGAGCAGTTTTGTTCAATTCATCCCGAACAAAATGTTCCAACTTATCCATTCTTATAAGATTGTCACTGGAAATACGAAGCGTTAAAACCTTCGAGAAGTTTACATCAATCTACCTCCTCGTGATGCCTATAGACCGACAGAAAGCATTGATAGCAGTAGCCGGCATTCCTCGTCGACGTAAACCAGCCAATGTCAAAAGCCGAGGATCGTCCCATCCATCCACATATTTTTCTGTTACTAATCGGTTTAGCTGCAAGGATGAGGAGGTCAAAACGCGCACAGTAGGAAAAAAAATTACCTTCCGCTTAGACAGCACATTATTCGTCATGTTCAGCCGTGAATACTCCCATACATACGGTAGATATAGATTTAATCTGTCTAGCAGCCAGTAATACGATACCCTGCGAGACTCAAACTCCAAAGTACACAGCTACAAACAAAAGAACCAATTCAGAACAAACAAAACCAAAAACATTCTCTACGTACCGAATGGGATATATTTTCCAGTGAATCGACGATGCAGTGTGTAAAGTCGTAGCTTGGATAAATGCACCATTTGTCTTTTGTGCGAGGGTGTGATGCTTTCTGTAAGTGACTATTTCAGAAATAAAACATAAACAGCATGCCTGTACCTTTACTCGATAAGCAATAAGGTCCAGCATATTGTAGTTTTCGTTTTTCATATCCTGCTTCATTCGCAGTGTAGCTTGCCCTTCCTCAATCAACCCAGCCTTCATCTTTTCGAAAAGATCCAGAGATTCTTCTACAGGCCGGTTCCTCCATGGGCTTTCCTTGAAGTTTTCACGGTATTCTTTTATCTCATCTGCCGTCTATAGAAACAATCAGTTATATAAAGCGCGCCATATTTCTTACCTGATGATCAACATAGGCGTGACCAGATTTTATCAGCTCTACAGCAAGCTCGTAAAGCTCCTGAAAGTAATCACTGCTGTAGGTAATCTGCAAGAACCGACATTAAAAACTCTTATCAGGAATTAAATGTTTAAAGACCTTGAACGGTTTCCAACCCATCCACTCTACAATCTCTTTTATGTGTTCAATATATTCTTCTTTTTCGGCATCTGGATTCGTATCATCAAACCTGCCGTAGAAAAGACATAAGAACCTGCTAGTGGAATTCAATGATTACCTCAGGTAGCAGCAGCCATTTGCATCGCATGCAAATCCAAAATCGACGAACATGGCCTGCCAAACAGAATTAAGACACTAATGACACACAAAAGACACTTACCTTAGCATGTCCAATGTGTAAGTAACCATTTGGTTCAGGAGGAAAACGGGTATAGACTCTTCCACCGGTTGCCTTCAGATGCTTTTCAAGGATAGCTTTCGTATTCGCTGGGTTCAGTACTGTTCCGTCGCTGAATCTTATTTCCACGTGAACTCCGATATTGTCTTCCGGTTTTGGGAATATTGAATAGGGGCTTACTTCCTCGACAGGGAGAATTTCTTCCTTCTTGACTTCCTACATTGGTACCAAGATTAAGCGCGTTAAAAACTGACAATATGCACCTCAGGCTTTGGCTTTTTCTTCTTGGTTTTCACGTCGTCCTCTGCAGTTCTCTCACCCAGGAGTTCATACATTTTCTTGTCTATCACTTTCTACAAGCAAACACAAACACGTTTTAAAAACATATATCAGGCTACCCCAGCAATACCTTGACATATGTGAAGTCCGCAAACGGCTGTAACTCCCTCACTTGTGCCAGTAGAATCCCAACTGTAAAGTCTCCAGATTAGAATAAGATCACTGAATGTACTAAAGGGGAAACCATTAAATTTGTAGCGCTCATCGAGTAGTTTCGCTTTGTTCTTTTCCAGCACTTTCTCGACAGCAAGCTCCGCGTCCTCTGGAGAGACAACCACACCTTTCACCCAGAAAGAAGTCAGTGAACGAAAGCTAACGGAACTAGAACTCACCGACACCACAGACTCTCTCAAAATCTTCCACCAGGAATTCTTCTGGATCGGAAGAAAAATAGCGAAAGGCCGCATCCAACTGATGGCTCTTGATCTGCCACATCCCATAACGTCTTAGCTCACAGAGAATCAAATCCAAAAACATCTCAAGACCTTTCCAGAAGTAACGTAGCTCAAAAACTTTGGCCGATGACGAAGAGCGTTCGCACGGTTTGCCGGGTACTTGGTTGCAACCTGCCACAAACCATTCAGAAGCGAGGAGGAAAAATTCGATAGCTTACCGTGTACAGCACGTTTCCAACCGATTTGTTACAGCCATTTTGCACACCTGCCTGAATTTCAACAATGAGAATCTCTTGAAGAAACACGAAATCGCATGCAATTACCTCCTTGATCACAGCCAGGACACTGCTCCTGACCTTCGGATTCACCATAATGTTCTGCGCAGTGGTCTCCTCGATACCGATTCGGCAGAAGAGCTCCACAGATGCCTCCATTGCCTCGCTCATAGCGCTGCTCGCGCAGCCACGCCCTACACGACTAGACCTCTGTAAAACCCTAGCATATAGCATATTCTTATCGTGAGCCCTAAACAGGCCGGCCTTATAAATTTCCCGCGAGAATTCAAAATTCAAATTTTCAAATTCAAATTCCAGTATGGAATACCTCAAGAGGGCATTTGCTATCATTTGCTATTGCTTCCTCTCCCATTTCCCTTCGCGTCTTCCATCGCTCCTCTCTTTGCTCGCGCGCTCCATTATCGTGCGAGGCCGCGAGGAGTTTCTCGCTTGCCTCTCGTCGACCATCTCCCCGTACTCGCTGATGCCACCGCCGTTTCCCAGGAGCTCCTCGTAGGCCCTGTCCTGGTGCTGGAAGCTTGGAGCGTTTGGATTTGGATAGCCGCGGCTGTTCGTCATGAGCACTGGAGTCGATGCTGTTGTCGTTGCCACTGCTGCTAGATGGACGTTGGTGGGGCTCACCGACGCTGCCGCGGCTCCTGGGGGTGGCGTTGGAGGTGGAGTTACTGCGTTCTCGCGATCCGGCCTCGAGCTGCTGTTACTTTCTCGCGGGCCCTCGCGGTAGCGATCGCGATCTCTTGGTCGACTAGAAGATGCGTGTTAACATTTGGGATAGAAGATACATGGATTGGGAAGAAGCGGAGAAGAAGTTTTAAGTCACCTGCTGCCAGAGGTGGTCGAGGCACTGTAGTCTCTCCGCGAGCTCCGCGCGTTTCCTTGCTCAAGTTCTCTTTGGTAGTCTCTCTGTGTTCTCGAGTGTAAGTAAAAAACGAAACTGGCAAGAGCTTACCTGTGAGCGTTTCTCCATTTCCAGTTCTACTACATGCCTCAGCTCTCTCGTCTTTTCGCGTTCTTTCTCCAAAGCCTTTTGCCTTTCTATCTCCCGTTCAGCTTCTGCTGCTCGCTCCCTGTAATCAAAAGATGTATAAATGACTCATGGAAATCTCTTGGAGGCCCACCTATCAAGTTCTTGCAGGATTACAATCTCCCGGTGCGCCGCTTCATCCAACGCAATCTGACGATCCCGCTCTGCCATTCGCTGACGCTCTCTTCTAATCGCAACTTGTTGTCGTGCTTCTTCACGTTGCCTACAAGCACTCCGAAGTTTTACAACAATGAACTTTCTACTGCTTACTCTTGAAGAATTTTTTCTTTAAGTTGTTCGAGGTCATTTGCGGAGCTTTGTGGCTGATGCTTTCCTTCCAGCATCTGCAGCTTCAGTTTTACTTCCTCCAGCTCCTATAAAATCCCGCATGATCTTTGTTAGAGAGACCAAAATTTCATTACCTTGGCTGCTTCTGCTGCGGCTGCATCACGAGCGTCTGGGCTATCACGCAGAACTGAAAGGCGAGCAAAGACCTGAAGAAGTGTTCATTTGGTGAGAGAAAAGCAAAGAACTAAGTATCTTACCTCTAGTACTGAGTCCCTGACAGCCAAATATCCTGGATCATTTGGATGTTTGATGTCTTCACCCAGTAGTGCTTGCTCTAGATTCTGGAAGTAAAAAACTGTGAGGGCTCTCAATTTTTCATAAAAAGATTCTACCTCTTTCACGACATTCCCTTGGGTCCTAAACTCCAGTAAGACCTGGCAGAGACGTCGTCCAGCTTCCATACACGTCGTTCCTGTACCATTCAGAAAACTGTGTCAAAATCTTAAAGAACAAACTTGGTTGCTTACCTGGTTTCGTTTTTGTTTGTTCTTCCATAACTCTCCAAACCTTAGCAGGAATAGACGTGACATCCTCTGGCGAGGCATAGATGCATGCCCGTGCTAGTAGAGATAGCGCGAGGTTCGTGTATGGGCCCGATCTCATAAAATGCAAGGACGTCGTGCCAGGAACCAACGAGCCGATTGTGCTGAGAAACGTCTTTAGCTGATGTGGTTCTGCCATAGGAATGAACTTCAGCAGCAACTCCATTGCTTGCTGTCTAAGTCCCAAAAGAGAGTCCGACGCAGCCGAGAATGTGACTTTGTCCCAGGTAACAGAAACAAGCTTGCGCACAAACTTATCATACGAGTATCTCTGGCTTGCGACTTGAACGTCCAAGTTTGAGACGTTCTCATTCCTCCTTAAAAGCTCCCTCAGCTGCTGCAATGCCCCTGACCGCAGCTCTGGCTCGGGATGCTCGAGCATCGCTGCCAGAAGAGGAGCAAGCGAACTGGATGCTGCTGGCTTCCAGATCTCCAAGCCTACATGCTGAAGAGCCCGTGGCATCCACTTGACAGTCCATAACCTCCAGCTCAGTCTGGGAGCACGCGAGCACTGATACTGCAGGATGGAGCAAACTTCAGCAAGCACCATGTGTACGTGCAGTGACGATGGTAGCGCCAGGAAGTAGTCCATTGTTGCCGCAGCGACTTGCCAGCAGTGACCCTTTTGCAGCATAGCCACCGAGTCCGTCAAGGATATCAGAGCATAGTGCCAAAAATCTTGCTGACCATCGTGTTGGTGCCGCCGGCGGAGATAGCTTGCCAGTAGTAAACATCTTGCTCTTGTACCTGCGGCCGTCGCAGCAAGTTTAGGATGGAGCTTCCATGCAGCCTCAAGTTCGGGACCGAGTGCCTGCAGGAACTTCTCCACGTTGTCATCCAGTAAGTCTGGACTGCAGCTTGATGGCGGCTCGGCATATCGGCCTTCAAGGCTGTCACCTTCACTCAGCACGCCGTCGTCATCAGTCACGGCATTCCCAACTTCGACAAAGTCTGTTTCTTGCTCCGCACAAGATGAGTCGGGGTGAGCCTGCTTCAGCGGTTGCATGGAATGCATGCCACGATAAACTGAAAGCTCCCCGTCCCCAAGGCTGTTCTCCATAAGCGAGCAAAGTGCTACCAGGATCTTGTCGAAGGCGAGAACGTATTTCCCACAAGCAGCGGGGGGACAGGATTTTGTCGACTCCACCCAGCTTAAAAGAGAAGAATAAAAGCCAGGTCGCATACCCGGAGAGATGTCTGGAAGAAGATAGCCGCATAAGTAGATTACGAGCGGTCCTTCGACAGATTGTTGCTTGTCTTGAGGTCCTCTCTTTAGCGCATCCAGCAAAGCACCGAAGCATATAACGCTGAAAGACTCGCGAAGCTCTTCGCCATAACTGGATCCTCCGGCTGCCGCAGCATACGCAACGAGCGGCTGCAAAGCGCTCATCACGGATTCCAGCATGAACATGTCGCAGTACGAGCTCGAGCACAGCTTGAGGAGCATACGGATGACTCTTGGCATCTCTGGTATGATGGCCTCCATATGCTCTAGCACAATAACCTCTAGCAGCTGGACAACAATGCGTTTCACGTTGGCTGCCGCAAATCCTTTTACGGAGTAACTGCTACCATCCTTGTGTTGAGGAAACGGATCTGAACAGACCTCCGCAAACCATCCCAGCAGATCGGGTACACTAGCAGGAGCAAGAGACTTGATTTGAGAGCGAACTGATTCCAGTAGTATGCCCGCGTATCTTAGGAAATGTGTTCTCATCTTGGGAAAGAATGAGTCGAACTCTGGATAGAGTACCGAAGCAGCCGACTCTTGAGTGTCGATAGAGTTCACGATATTAAGCTTTGCCATTGCACCCGGTGCTTTAATCTGCGCATGAAACTCCTCGGAAGTTTCATTACTTGATGATCGGTTGGCGGGACCAAAGGCCGTGAGCTCGTCGGAGAAAATGAGAAGGGCGCCAGTAAGCTGTTCAAGTGACGAAGCCAGAAGAAGACCGGCTTCTTGATATGTCTGAGCGTAGATCGATAACGACATCCAGCCGATGTAGCGAACAAGAGGAAAACTTGACAAGGCAAACCTCGGTATTTCTTGAAGCCACGAAGAGGCTGGAACCAGCTCCTTGTGTGCTGATCCCCCGTCGAAAATATCGCTCTCTCTGAAAGGCCTTCCAGCAGCGACATAGACCATCCGGCTGAGCAAAGCCCACTGGCGTCGTATCGCAAAAGCATTAGCTATGCGTCGCTGTGAGTATCCATCTTTTGCGCGGGTGTGCTCCAAAACCACGGACTTGTTAAGCCGCTCCGCACTTTTGAGAATAACCCCAACTAGATCCCCAGGCGGCACCAGCGGCCCAGTGCTCGTCTCCAAAACGAACAGGAGGCCCTGTAGTAAAACGTCGTACAAGTTGTGCATGTCCCTCTGGAGCTGCCGAACGAAGAACATGCATAGCTGACTTTGGTGCTGGCGGACAATAGTGGCAGCATCTTGGAGTCTCTCGTCTTCGGCATCCACCGATAGACTGTTGGAAAACTCGGCACTGCCAACGTCTCCCATGCTTTGTGCCAGGTCGCAGTCCCATTTTGACGCTTGCAAGAGAATCCTCAGAACAGCCTTGTCTCTTTCTTCCTCCAATTCGATAATGGATTCTGCCGCTGCCAAGTCCTTCCCTGAACCAACCTTGGAGAGTATCTGCCGATCGTCGCTGCGTGAATCCATGAAAACGGGATTCAGATGGCACTCCGCAGCTAGAAGTAAGGAATCGATCGCAGCCTGGTGACTTTCGGGACTCTGTTCTGTTTGAGAGTGCAGCTCGACCGCAAAACGGATAAACTCGGACGCCTGTAACTCACGTTCCGCCTGGCTTATCAATTGCAGATAGTCCTTCTGCAAATCAAAATACTGATCTACGACCCTTTGATCCAGTGGAGATTTTTCATCGGCTACAATCGTTGCTGTTCCATCCGAATCCACTGCTTTCCGGTCAGCAGCCAACATCATCCCCTTAAGTTCTGGAGAAATGAAGAATAAGTTTGACTCATCAGCAGCAGCGTTACTATCGTTTCCCTCGCCAACAACTCCAAACTTATAATCAGAAGCGTTACCGACGGTATTATCATCCTGACTCAGTAAACCAGTAGGAATTGCCAAGTGTGGAGCAAGAATAGAAAGCAATACACTGCCGTTGAAAGAAGCTACATCAGAAAGAAACAACGAAGAAAAAAGTACCTTGGTGCTATACGTCCTTGTCGCCATTCCACTTCTAAAGCAGGCAGAACTGAGAACCTTTTGACCGCGGCGCAGATAAAATCAAGTGCCAAGGCGCAATTTTGGTCTCGCTTTTCATATAGCATTGTAGACATATCGCCAAATGTAATTGTACTTTCGGTAAATGTCAATGCTGGCATCAGATAAGGTTCTAGAATCTCGATAAGAAACAGAATGTTGGTTTTCACGTCCTAGAGATAAGAAAATAGCGTCACAAGAGTGAATGAGACAAGTGCTTCACCTTGTACTGCTCTAGTAGTTCATCCACATAACCAGAAAGTCCCAGCATTACGTAGAGCAAAGCTGCACGCGCTTTGTTCACACTTTTATGGCCAGCCTGCAGCAAATACTTTCAGACGAAATAGAGCTGATGAGATTATTATACCTGAATGACGCCGGCTACATCTTCAAGGAGCTCGATAGCCAAATCCACCTGCACTAATGAGAATCGTTGAATCCCAGGTACAAAACCAGAAATACAAAAACGAAAGAAAAACTTACAAGAAGCATCTGACCTTGGAAATAACCATGGATAACCACGCTGAAAGAGGGCCGGTACATAAGTCGATCAGCAAACAGGCCGCTTTCTCCTTTAGAGAAAATCACAAGTTCTGATAAGTACGATTAAAGCGAAAAAAAAGTTTATCATACATGCGCCGCAGAAAATGATGCAAGGTATCCGGAACAAGCGTCCAGAAGTGGGCGATACGCCAACGAGATCGACAAAGATACCACCTGAAAGAGTCCGCTTGCATGAGAGACATAAAAAGAAATATATTTCTTACGTGTGACACAACGCCATGAACTTGAGGAACTTGCCACGGCCAAAATGTTTCATCAATTATTTCAGCGCCTGTTAGCAAGGTGGAAGAAGGACGGATTGCTGAAAGAGAAGATGATAATGAAATATTAAAACTACAAGTAACTAGGAACAAAATTAGGACCAGCACCTCCAACAGTAGCCTGAACGAACGGCAATACTGGCACCAAGTCGGCTTCCGAATCGGCTAGCCTTCTACAAAGTACAGGCTACAACATACAGCAATCATAATTATTCAAAATTCGAGAAAAAAAGAGAGTTACCTGGGAAGCTAAGCAGTAAAGAACGTGCAAAAGACCCTCTTCAATCAACGAGATTTCTAATATTCCAGCATTCGTTATGTCAGTTGTTTCTTCAACAATTCTGTACTCTTCTCCAAAAATCTCCGAATAATCAGCACCAGCAGCAGCTGAAGCATCAGAAACGGCCGCTTCAAGCGAGTCAGCGTCGTGAGTGATTGTACCCTCTAGCTTCGTATATATTACAGCAACCTGGAAAGTAAATTATCTTTTGTTAGAGGAACAAACAGAGAGAACTCAAACCTTTTTACAAATCCTTGAAAGAGCACTGTTTTTATTGGCCACCTTCAAGAGCAACAGAATGACATCAAATCTATAGGCCAAAAGTAGACCCACGGGTTTCTGGGAAACTCCAGAGCCCTTTCCTCGTTTTGGAGGTGCCTGAGACAAGAGAGAAACATATAAGCTACGAGAATGTAAAGCTTACGGCATGCAACCTGAAAATTCGAAGAGACCGAAAATACGGAAGTTTGAGTTCGAGCTGTTTCATCTATACCAGTCTTCTCGGCTTCCCTGTATTACTACAGTGCGTGAAAACGCAGTATTAGCCTCATTAAACAATCTAACCTTCCACCAGCTGACGCTAGAATTGGATAGAATGGACCTACAAGCATCGCCAGGAGCTTAACAGTTGATTCCATAACTTCACTGCTAACCGCCAAGTCGCTCTACAGAATGAGCATCAGAGAAACAGCTGAAATGGAACTATTCTCACCTCGAGCTGAATCAAGAATGGCGATAGCCGGCTCGCAATGTCTTGGAGAAGCTGCAGCTCCATGTTAACTTCTACACAGAAAAAATGATAACTCACTCATACCTTAAGGTAGACGGCATGTAGCTCGTGCTTCTGGGAAATAATCCGTGGGAGCAAGTAGTCAACAACAGGCTGGAGTTCTGGTTCTAGACCAGGAACTTGAATGCCCATCAACTGCAAAGAAAGAGAAAAACATCACTATGTCAGTTGAAGTATAGAAAACGAAAACAAAAACTAGTTCCGACCTGGACGTAGAAAATGGCGATCGGGTTTCCACGAAGACAAGAAATCCGAATGAATCGGCATGGTGTGTAGCCCGCATAGTACGTCATGTCTCGCCTGGGAGCTTCACAGCGTGGCCTTACTTTCACAAAACTTTCCGGCTGAGAAATCACACAAACCGAGCTTAAAAATACAGAGAAAGAGAGAACAATGTCACACCTTAAACTTGAGCCCGGCGGCAATCTCCCATTCCAGCACCGATTTGTTGTGCGCGCGAATGTGAGACAATAGACACGCCTCCTGCGCAAAATCTTCACTATAGAAGCTCAAAGGACTCACTACTCGCGACACTGACCTCCAGCTCGAGAATGATCCACTCCTTAGCATTCGTCCCAGTCGACCAATGCGTCCGGAGATCTGGATCGAGGACATACGCCGCCTTCTGCGACGCCGATTCGCGCGACGATGCGCGCACCTTGAACGGCAGCGCCTTGAGGCGAGGATCCAGCTCTGGCTGCTGCTCCATAATCAAAACCCTACAAAATTTCCAAGTTCTATACTATAGCTTTCAAACCATGGAAGCTCTTTAAAGGTACATATCTATCATCGATTAAACCTGAGAGGACGCTTCTTTGGCCATGAATTTTCTCCTCCTCTGGGCTCTTATCAAAGCTTTGGTTCTTCCTCTCGTCTTGGAGAGCCCAGTTTTGGTCACCTTGGACGCAAACTTCTTGCGGCATTCCTTCTCCCAGATCCTTCTCGCCTTGGCCTTGGCCATGGCCAGAGCTCGCGTGCCAACCTTCTCCAAGTTCACTCCCTTGGCCGCGGCTCGATCGAAAGCTTCTTTGTAACGGGACTTTAGCGCTCGCATCCTGGCCCCCAGCACTCGTTCTCTTTCGAGAGACACGCCTTCTAAGGTCTCGTTTCGCCGCATTGCGTCCTCGAGCCGATTTGCTAGAGCCAGCTCGCGCTTGGTAACAAGGCTGGTCACTCGTCCTGGAAAAAGAAGAAAAGAAAGTTACTCGTAAGTTTCTACGATCAAGAAAGAAAAAAAAAAAAAAAAACAGACCTTTTAAGCCCATGCGAGCAGTCCGTCCACTCCGATGCAAGTAATCAATCTGGAACAAGTTTAGTTCATGAGCTAAAGTTTCATTCAACGAAATAGATAACTTTACCGAAGTCGAAGGGAAATCAAAGTTGATAACATGGTCGACTTGAAGATCAAGGCCCCGAGCAGCCAAATCAGTACAGATTAGCGCAGGAACTGGACCCTCTCCATCTTCAATCTTAAACTTTGCAAGGTTCTTTATCCTGCGATAGTAAAGAATAAGCAATTAAAAACAATCACGAACTTAGAAACATGCGTACCGATCTTCTGCAGGGACCTCGCCATGATAATTTACACAATGGACATCCATTTCATTCAGGTAGTGATCAACAGCCCGGCAGGAATCAACTGATCTGCAAAAGACCATACAACGACTTCCTTTGGCAAGCGCGGGCTCAAGAACCTGGAAAGTCACATAAGTGTCACGTAAGTCGTGCAAATGAAACATTCAAGAAGTTCAAAGCATACTTGAACCAAAGCCTCGAGCTTGTTAATGTTGCCAGGAACTTTTTGGAAGAAATGCCGGGACGTATCGACCTTTTTGTGTAGGGTGGACGTGAAAATGTGCCGAATGCCTGGGAACTCAGTATCAAGGAGCTTTTGCACGGACTACACAGGTCAAAAGTCAGAACAAAAGGACGCGAGAGAGAGGTTTGCAGTTCACCTTTGTAATCGTCGCGGTCACAAGAATGGTCTGAAAATCCGAGCCATTTCGCAAGGCACGGTTGCGAAGAGGATCGATTATCTTCTTCAGCTCAGGCCCAAATCCACGATCAAACATGGTGTCGGCCTCGTCGATTACCTACAGAAGAGGGGAAAAAACATCCGAGTTTACGCAAAAGAAGAAAACCAAAAGAACTTAGCTGCCTCACCACATACTTGATATCTCCAAACGCCAGGTTCCCTTCTTCGACATGCATCAGCAGCCTCCCCGGAGTCCCGACTACCATGTCGAGAGCTCCATTGAGCGCGTCAGCCTGGGGCCTGGGACGAAATCCCCCACTGATCATCGCAGAACGAAAGCGAGCATGGTGACTTAACGACTTGGCGACTTGTAAAACCTATCAAAACGAGTGTTTTTGCAAGCTTCTAGAATAAAAGAAAATTAGTACCTGTTCTGTCAACTCTCTGGTCGGACAAAGAACGAGAGCTCGGGGCTTTCTAGCTCGCACGGTTCTTCCACTCTCGATTTCATCCTTTCGTAAGCTCTGCGCAACGAGAAAGAAGAGAAGTGAGAAAATGATAAGCACACCAAGGAATGAAATAAACCTGGACAAGCGGTAGCATGTAAGCGAGCGTTTTTCCGGAGCCAGTGTGAGACGCCACCACCACATTCTCACCGTCTAGAATCGCTGGAATCGCCATTCTCTGGACCTCGGTCGGCTCCTTCAAATCCAGCTCCTCGATGGCGCCGCGCAGCTCCTCCGCCAGCCCGAGCTCGTCGAACGACTGCGTAGAAACCTCCGCCAGAGAATCCTCGTAATCCAGCCTCTCGCCTTTGCCCCTCCTCCATCTCCTACCTTCCTCTTCTTCCCGGGCAATGCCGCTCCATCCCTCCTTGGACCGCCTCGATCGAAGCCTGTCGAGGAGATTATCCTCATCCGCTAGCGCTGCCGACGAACTCCCGCCCCTCTGCGCCGCCCGGAGAGGCCCGCTCGCGACGCTCAGCCTCCGGCACAGCGGCGGCTTGCGCGCGAGAGGCGATCTAAGCGCAGCCACGGAGGGATAGAGTTGCCGGCAAAGGAATGCCATTCTCATTCCTTCCCGGGCATCGATCTATCGCTTAAACCCTAAAACCTTGGCGAAATGCGAGCTCCAACGAGTAGAGTTTTACTGACTGACCATAGTGAAGATCCATAGTTCTAAAGTTCGCGAGCTACGAGTAGTGTTTTACTGACCATAGTGGACATCCATAGCTCTAAAGCTCGCGATCTTTGGTCTTCTCGGCTCGCTATACGCCATCGTCCTCCTGATCTTCCTGTCGCGCGTCTCCTCGTAAATCTTCACTTCCTCCTCCCGGAAGAGCTCGGCTCTAAACTTCTCGATCCTCTCCACGATCACGTCTGGAACGCCCTCGCGCTGCTCGATCATGTCGAGATAGTCGAGCTTCCTGGCCAGGCAGCACGAAGTCACCAGCGTGTTGTGCATTCCCAGCGTCACTTCGACGCCGACGCTCGGCAGCCAGCAGTAGAACTCGTAGGCTCCCTGGAAGTCTCCCTGCGCACACAAGGCTCCCAGGAGCTGCCGGAGTCCCTGGTTCTCTGGCCGCTTCCCATCTCTCACGAGTTCTTCCACCAGCTTTCGAGCTTGATCCGCCTTGCCTTGCCAGCAGAGTCCCACCACCAGCTTGTCATACGTGAACTTGTCTGGAACGATGCCGGTGTCGGTCATCTGCTTGAGGAAATCCTTGGCTTCGTCCACGCTGCCTCGCCGGAGGATCCCGTCCAGGAGAATGTTGCTCGATCCCACAAGCTGCTGGCAGTTTATCCTCGACATCTCTTTGTAGAGCTCGAACGCGTCGTCCAGTCTTCCGGCTCTGGCCAGCCGCGAGAGTAGCACCTCCCAGATCTTCAAGCTCGGGACGAATCCTTTGTCACGCATCGCGCTCAGGAGCTTGAAGGCCTCTTCCACCTGATCCGTCTTGCACAGGCTGGAGATGAGGATCTCGTACGTGAACATGTTGGGAGCTGGAACTTTGTCATTCTTTCCGGACTGCATCCTTCTGAACAGCATCCACGCGGAGCTCCAGGCGTCGTCTTTGATGAACCCGACGATCATGAAGTTGTAAGTCCAGGTGTTGAGAACGATACCATCTTTGATCATGTCTTGGAACAGGCAGTAGGCTTCATTTGTATCTCCGTTGGCGCAAAAGCCTCGGATCATGAGATTATAAGAGCACGTATCGGGTAGCCTCTTTGTCTTCATGTCCGAGAAGAGTTTTTTCGCTTCCTCAAACCTGTGCTCCTTGATCATCCGGTCGAGAATGACGTTGCAAGAGCCTGTGCTCGGGACGAGGCCTTTGGCAACTGTGGCGTCGAAGAGCTCGCTGGGGCCTTCGCCACTCTTACGACTGTAAGGAAAGACCACCAAGTCCAAAGTCTCTCCATCTTCCGCCACCATAACTCCTTCGTTTGTCACTGCTTCGTAGAGCTTAAGTGCCTCGTCCATCCGCTTCTTCCACACCAAAGCATAGAGCAGCTTGGTGAGTGTAGCAATCCTCGGAGCTACACCTTGATCCAGCATGAAGTACGTGAGCTCCATTGCATCTTGCAATTTAGCAGTGCTGAGCAGTCCTTCGAGCAAAGTGTTGTAAGTCACCACTGTCGGACTAATCCCCCTGCCTCTCATCTCCTGAAACATTTCCTTGGCTTCTCCGGGTCGTCTTGCCTTGCAAAGCCCGTTGATAAGTATGCTGTACGCGTAAAAGTCCGACTTGTAGAGCTCTGTCCCACACATCTGTCTGAACAGCCTGATAGCGTCGTCGATCCCACCTTCGATGCACAGCTTGTTGAGGAAGACGTTGAAAGCAACCGGGTGTACAGCGATCTTCTTGCCCATCATCTCCGTGACGAGCTTCGCCGCTTCCACATTTCCTCCATCCATCTTGGACAAGCCTAGAACAACGAGGCTGTAAGTGTTGTCCGTCATGCAAACGTTCTTCCGGCACATATCGCTGTACACCCGAGAGGCCTCCACCAGCTTCCCTGCTCGCTGGAGCTTGTTAAACAGGACACTGTATGCAGGCTCGGTACAAGGGCAAGGACCTTCGGCCATCTTCTCAAACACCTCGTATGCCTGCTGGAGTCTCGCAAACTTGCAAAGGTGGTCGATCAGCGTGGTGTAAGTGACGAAAGTGGGCGAGACGTCCTCCTGTTTCATCCTCTCCAGTAAGAAGACGGCCTCGTCAAGCTTCTTCCACTTGCAAAGCCCCGCGATCATCGTGTTGTACGTGACAACATCCGGTTTGCATCCTCGGCTGTTCATGCTCCTAAACAGCTCCCTCGCCTCGTGAATCTTGCGCGCTCTCCACAGCCCCGACAGCAGCACGTTGAAGTTGACAATGTCCGGCTCGCATCCTTTCGCTGGCATCTCGGCGAAAACATCCATAGCCTTGCTCACGTTTCCCGTCTTGCAAAAGCTCTGGACGATGCTGCTGTACGCGTGAGGAGTCGGAGGATGCCCGAGCTCCTCCATCTCCCTCAGGAACGCCAAGGCCTTCTCGATGTTGCGAGCTTTGCAGTAGCCATCGATGATGATGTTGTAGGAGACCACGTTGGGAGCGCAGTGCTGCGGCATTCTTTTCAAGTAGCTCTCCGCCTCGGCCAGCATCCCGGCCTTGCAGAGGCAGCTGATGAGATTGTTGTAGAGAATCGCGTTTGGAAACAATCCAGCCTCGAGCATTCTATCCAGCTGCGAGCACCCCCTCTGAAAACTCCCACTCTTGAAGAAACCACGTATCAAGAGGCAGTGGGACTGGACGTCGGGAGAAAAACCGGCATACTTCATCTCCTCCACGATCGCTTCCGCCTGGGCGACCAGATCGGCCTCCACGAGCTTGCGGATGATGCAATTGTAAGAATGCAGCGTGCTCACGCACGAATCCTGCCTCACGGACCATCGAAAGAAGCCCACCGCCGTGTCCGGATCGTCGCAGCTCCTCACCACGTCCTCAACCAGGGACGAATTCACCGGCTGCTTCCTGAAAATCTCCTCCAGCCTGCCCTGCCAGTCGGAAGAATCGCGCAGAACAGCGACGATGCCCGCCGCATCCACGCATTCCCGCTCCTTCTTGTCCCGGAAGAGCCCTAGAATCTTGAAGACATCCAGCGCCGGTGCCTCGCCCCCCGCATTGGCACCGGCACCGAGCTGCGAGAGATCCAAGACCTGCGTACCGGAGCAAAGGAATCGCCGGTAATGCCGAGCGCCAATGCTGCGAGCGCCCCTCCTCGATACCCACATGAACCCTAATGTGGGTTTATTAGAATATATCGCTAACGGTTCAAGCATATTCTGTCCCCAGCATATTCTGCCAGGCGAGCATGCCAGACGGTATATTCCTCCGGTTGGCGGGGAATATACCACGTGTTTTAGTTTTGAGAGAATGGCTCTTCCACTCCGGCGGCGGCTCCCCTTGGCGCAGTCTTAGTTGAATTCCAGCTCCAGGGAATTCCCGGCGATCCTCCCGGATGCCTGGAAGCAGCGCTGCCTAGTTCGTGCCCGGCGCCTGGCGAGCGCGTCCTCGTCCTCGTCCTCGTCGGTCGTCATCGCCCTCGCCAAATCGAAATCCGGGGCAGCAATGCAGCGGGGGAGAGGGATTAGCTAGCGGGAAGCTGTGACATCGCAGCGCTGGATGGATCGCCCGGTTCCCGGGGGCGGCAAGGGCAGCAGGGAGAGGAAGGGTTGGGAGGTGGGCGAGAGCAGCGGCGCCAGGCACCACGTCCCGGCGCCGCTGCCCTCATTCAACCGATGGAGCGGAGTGGCGGTGCCCCTGCCCGAGCCGCGCACGCCACGGACCAGCCGCAACTCGGAGAAAAGGCGCCTCCAAAAGCTCTATAGGCTGGAGAAACAGGCAGCTACCTTGAATGTAAGTGTTCTCAGCTTTCCTTGGCTTTGGATGGATGATCTTCTCCCTCAAATCGATCTCTGTGAAGTTCTTTTCATCTTTTCGTCTCTGGAGTTCTCGATCTCTTTGCATTTGAAATCCTCCACTTCTATGGAGATTTAGTCTCTCTCTTTCGCTCCCTCCTCGTTTTCTTTTTTTTTTTTTATCAATGTCTCGTGTGTTCTTGGTTGACTGGCTAGCTTAGCTGCATTCCTCCTTCCTCGTTTGTGGATCTTGGAACTTTCGATTCACTTTTCTCCTCCATGGACGTCAGGAGGAAATTAGCCAAGCCAAGCAGGCACCCAGGGTCTCCATCACTTGCAAAGAGTACGTATTCATCGAGAGATCTCTACGAATTTCGTTGACAATGGAACTGTTTTTTAAACTCAAGAGTCGCGGAGTTCATTGAGAGCCGGGGCCGGGAAGATCCTTTCGTCACAAATCAGTAAGCTTCTCACTTTCTTTGTTTTTCACAACCCCATCTCCATCCGCAGCAATTCCAGGCCGTCCTGGAATCGATGGCTCGGGTCGCCGGCAGGAAGACGAAGATTTTCTTGGGGCTGGTGCTTCTCCTAGGCCTCACCAAAGAAGAGTAGAGAATTCCTTTCCCGTGACACACAAAACAGAAGAAATTTTCTTGCTTGAACCCACATGCTTTTTTGTGTTTTTTTTTTTTTTTTTGTAGTTTTCTGGAACACAGAAGAAATTTTCTTGCTTGAACCCCCACTTTTTTTCTTTTTTTCTTTTTTTGTAGTTTTCTGGAGCGTAGGTTGAGTTTGAACATTGAAAGTCAAGGAACGTGCGTGTTGGCTTTTCGTTCCATTTATCGCGGAATTTTTTCCCATTGTTAAGCTAAACAAAAAAATGGACATATTCTTAGAATATCTCAGCATGTGAAACACATTTTCTACTCATTATATACTCATACATTTCATGACCATGTCAAATGTATGTACAAGCATAGTAATGGCGGCCTGACACTAATCTTTCTGTATATCGAGTGTATTTCACTTTTAAATATATTGTTTATAGATTCTTGCGTGGACAAAGTCACAACCTAACAGCCTTAAACATGTTAGACAAGAGAACATAAGGGGCAGCACTTTTCAGATCTAGATCAAGCCCAGATCTTTGTCTACCTGGGAACAGAGATTTTTCGGGATTTTTACTAAGCTGCCTGTTAAAGTTAGCAAAAGAGCTAAGTAAGCAGTTCCAATCTCTTGAGTCTGGCAAAAAAGGCATATGCAAGATGAGGTCTTCTGCGTGAACAAGATACCCTCCTCGTGCAAGTAGATCCACAATGCAACCGTAAAGAACCTTTGACGGATCCATGCTACCGTAATCAACAATAAAAGATCTGAAAAAATTAATACCCACATGAGCATCACCCCCGTGGCTGCAAGCAACCAAAACCAAAACAAACGAGCTCTCATCAGGTTTAATTCCTTGAGATATCATCTCCTTGAAAATATCCAGAACAAGTTGGTAATGTCCACAGTGGGCATACATTGCTAGCATGGTGTTCCAAGTCACTAGATTTCTAATCACCATCCGCTTGAAAACAACACTTGCCGTCTCCAAATGACCGTTTTGGGCATATGCAGTTAGCATAGAGTTCCAAGTCACCAGATTTTTATCCGGTATACCATAGAATATGCGCTTCGCATCCTCCAGATACCGGTTTTGGGAATATGCATCCAGCAGGGAGATGCAAGAGACAAGATTTTGGTCGTGCATGCCATCAAAGAGAATCTTGGCCTCCTCAAGATACCCATTCTGGGCATATGCCGCAAGCATGGCATTCCACGTCACAGAATCTCTGCCGGGCATCGTGTCAAATATTTCTTTGGCCTCCTCCACTTGTCCACTTTGTGCATATCCAGTCAGCATAGTGTTCCACGAGAAAACATCCCACACAGCCATGTTTTGTGACAAAAACCTCTTTGCCCCCGCCAAATCTCCATTTGAGGCATGCGCACTAAGCATTGCATTACACAAAACCAAATTACACTGTTGTATCCTAGAAAACAGTCGCAAAGATTCATCCAGATTCCCAGCCTGGGCATATGCCGATATTATAGCTGTCCACGAGAACAAGTCTCTCTCGGCCAAGGCATCGAACATTCTCTTCACCGAGGCCGTGTCACCAATTTGCGCATACGCCGCGAGCATTGCATTGTGTGCCACAAGATTCCACTCGGGCATCCGATCAAACAGGAGCTTCGATTCCTCAAAGCAATCCCACTGCATGTAAGCCGAGAGCATCGCAGTCCACGAGACAATGTTACGCTTTGGCATCTGATCAAAGAGCGCTCTGGCCATCTCCAAATTCCCATTCTGCGCGTAAGCCACAAACACGGTGTTCCACAAAACCACGTCCTTCTCTCTCTCGTCAACCTTGCGAAACATCCGATTGAGCTGCTCTAGCTCACCGTGCCTGGAATATGCCGCCATTATCGCAGTCCAGGAGATAAGATTCCACTCCGGGATGCCATTAAACACCTCCTGGGCCCTCTCCAGATGCCCGGCCTGGGCATGCACGGCCAGCAACGTCGTCCACGTCATCAGGTTGACCATGGGCATTGATTTGACCACGCGGTCGCACTCCTCCGTACGCTCCACCCTCGCGTACGCCTGCAGCAGCCCGTTCCACGACGCCAGGTCGTTGTACGGCATGGAGTCAAAAACGTCCCTTGCAGCGTCCACATGCCCGTTCTGGGCATACGTCGCCAGCATGGCATTCCACGTCACAATGTCCCTGTACGGCATCCGGTCAAACATGTCCTTTGCGCCGTCAATGTGTCCGTTCTGCGCAAATCCAGTCAACATGGCAGTCCACGCGACCAATCCCCTGTCCGGCATCTGGTCAAACAGACTCTTGGCCTGGGCAACATGCCCGGTCTGGGCATATGCGGTGAGCATGGAAGTCCACGCCACCTGGTCCCGCCACTGCATGGTATTAAAGAGCCGCTCAGCGTCCCTGACGTAGCTGTGCCGGGCATAAGCTGTGAGCATGAAGTTCCAGGAGTAGCGATCCTTCTCCTGGATGCCATCGAAGATCTCTTTCGCGTGGTGGATGCTTCCACACCGGCTGTACATTTGGATGAGGAGATTCGAGAGGTAAGCGGGCAGTGGATCCGAATAGACGAGCCGAGTGGACCGCTCCACATCTCGTGCGTCGGACAGTGCGTTGCAGGACTTGATAAGCTCGACGCTCTTGTGGAAGTCACCCATGAGACATATCTTCCTTCTAAGTTCTTCCTCGTAGAACTCCTTCGTAGAAACTAGTTGTCTCGCCAGAAATCGTCGTAGTGCTCGATCAGTGGCACGCCTCTTTTCTTCTGGAGCTTGATGTAGTCCGCGAGATCGTTGGTCACGCGCTGGGCGAATTCCTCCTGCTCGGCGGCCTGGAGCTTCTTGATGAGGCCCCGGTAGACGAGGTGATGGAGGTGCAAGCCTGGAGTTTTGAGCATCCGGTTGTAGAACCTCTCCAGGTTTTGGAAGTCGAAGAGATCGAAGCACGCGCTCATCACCGGGACGAACATATGCCGGTTGGGATGCATCTCGTTGGCGTCCATCTCGTCCATGGTCGTCCACAGCTCGTCAAATCTTCGTAGATTGGTGAGGATGAGGATAAGTTCGCGGTAGAGGTAGCTGTTTGGCTCGTACCACGACTCCTTCTCGATGATCCGGAAGACCTGGAGACGCAAACCGTGAGGAAGAGCTCCCGGAGGACGAAGTTTTACCTTCAAAGCTATTTCTTCTTCTCGGTGCTTGCGAAGGATGGTGAGGACACACAGCATGTCTTTCTTGAGCATCCTCGGCGCGTTTGTTTCTAGATACGAGTCCACCTTGTCTGGATCGTTCTTGCGATGCCTGAGAGCCGTCACGGTCTGCATTGCTTCTTGGGTGAACTCCCGGAGACGCAGGAACTCCTTGGGGATCTTCTCGGGTCGAAACACCTTCGACTTGGAAGGCCTTGGATCTGGAGTGTCGGCCCAAAAGAATCCAACGTTCTTCTCCCTCGATCCTAGGAGAGGAGCTGCCCGGTGGAAAAGACGTATCTTTTGGAGCTGTGCTTCGAGAGCTCTCCGGGCGAGCGACCCACATCCTGCATTTGGATATCAGCTTTCACTCCAACAAAAAGAGATGAGCACGCACCTCTCCCAGAAATCATCTGAAGAACCCTAAACCTTGTGCCTGGCTTCGAGGTCCTTGAGAAGAATCTCGGCTCGCTCGAGCTCCCCGGCGCTGGTGAGCTTGGCGATGAGAAACGCGTAGAAATTCGGGCAAACCTTACACCCGATTGCCTTGATCGCCTCGTAGATCTCCATGCACTTGGCAAAGTTCGCCAGGCTTGCAAACTTCCTCACTGGAAAAACGAGCATCTCCTCCGAAGGCTCGAGCTTCTCGTCGTGTAAGTTCTTGAGCAGCCTCTTCCAGTCTTCGATCCTGTCGTGTTTGATCACGAACTCCATGATCGATTGAAAGAGCTGCGCGCTTGGTTTGTACCACATCTCTTCTCGTATGACATCGAATATCTGGAAGAAGAAGGAAGAAAGAGAGCGTCCAGAAGAACTAGAGAAGAAAGAAAAGATGAGCTCACCTCGAGAACTCTATCGACTTGGTCCTGGTCTTTGAGTGTGAGAAGAACGATCAAGTAATCGTAGCGCATCATTCTGGCAGAGCGATCCTTGAGCAGCCGCTCCACGTCCTTCTTGCCCCTGGCCGCTCGCTTGATCTCGGTCACCAGCGCCAGAGCTTCCTTGCTGGGAAACATTCTCTTCCCCTCCGGCCTCCAGTCGATCTCTCTAGCGCTCAGAAGCTCCGACGACACGGCATGGCGACTCTTGACGAAGCTCCTCGTCTGGGCCGCAATCCTCGAAAATCCCAGCGCGCCTGTGCCACAACATCTAGATCCAATGACATGATCCATGTTCTAGCAGGAAATCTTACGCTTCGCAACGCGTGCTTGCGCCATCGCCTCCAGCTCGATCTCAGTCCCTGCGCGGGTACCCTAGAACAAGAAGGATGAATGTGGCCGAGGTAATCAAATCTTGCCCCAATCTCTCCCAAGCCAAAGAGATTCACGATTCCATCCCATGCCCACCTTCCATCCCGATCGCCGAGCTCCTCATCCAAATGTATGGCAGGCTTGGCAATGTCGCCATGGCGGCACAGATCTTCGATTCCATGCCGTCCAAGACCGTCCTCTCCTGGAACTCCATGATCACGGCCTATTCCCAGAACAACGATATTCGCACCGCGAAGAGATTCTTCGACGAAATGCCCGATCGAAGCCTAGTTTCCTGGACCGCAATGCTCAGTGGCTTCCTCGACCATGGCCGGATCACCGACGGCAAAGAGCTATTCGATCGAATGCCCTGCCGAGACGTATTCACCTGGAATGTCCTCTTAAATTCATATGCCCGGTTAGGGCATCTTGATCTTGCAAAGCATCTTTTTCTTTCAATGCCAGAGAAAGATGTGATTGCTTGGAACTGTTTGATAGCCCTTTTGGCACGAACACATCGTCTTAAAGAGGCCAGTGAGTTATTCCAAAAGATGCCCCATAGGTCAGCTCAATCCTGGAATATTCTCCTTGCAGCATATGCCCAGGCAGGGCATATGCTTGAGGCCCGGCATTTGTTTGACGAGATCCCACAAAGGGATCTCATTGCATGGACGGCGCTGCTAGCAGCATATTCCCAGAACGGGCATCTTAAAGCGTCAATGGAGATTTTCCACGCGATGCCAATGAGGAATCTCGTGTCCTGGAACGCCTTTCTCTCGGCTTTCTCACAAGTCGGAGATGTTGAGAGCTCCAAACGAGTGTTCTTTGCAATGCCCGAGTGGAATGTGGTGTCGTGGACGTCGATGTGCCAGGTTTACATCCACTCGGAGAATCTCGATCGAGCGAGGAAGTTCTTCTTTGAGACGATGCCGGTGAAGAACAGAGTCTCGTGGAACCTGATGCTCACTGCGTATGCCGAGAGGGCGGATGTCGTCCAAGCGAAGATGGTGTTCGATTCCATGCCAGAGCACGACCTCGTCTCCCTCTCCGCGATGCTGGCTGCTCTGATTCAGGCTGGAAACCTGGACCACGCAAAAATATTCTTCAAAACGCTGCCAGCAAGAGGAATCGTCGCGTGCAACTCCATGCTTGCTGCATATATCCAAAGCGGTCATCTGGAAGAAGCGAAGGAGCTCTTCTTCCGTGGAATGCTCGAGAGGAGCTTGGTTTCCTGGACGACACTTCTCTCCGGCTTTGCAGACAAAGCGAATGGAAGTCTTGATCGAGCGAAGGTTTTGTTTGATGAGATGCCCGACCGGGACTTAGTCGCGTTGACTACCATGCTCGCGGCTTACGCATCTCGCAGCCACCTTGAAGAAGCCAAATCCATCTTTGATGCTTTGCCAAAGCATGATCTCGTCGCATGGAACGCCATGCTCGCGGCTTACTCCCGAAACGATTGCCTCGACGAAGCGGCCAACTTCTTCCATGAAATGCCCGAACGCGATCTTGTCTCTTGGAATTCTATCTTGGAGGCTTACGCGGCGGCTGGTCACGACCGTCTTGCAATGAAAACGTTTGAGACAATGCCGGGGAAAGATCTCTTTTCTTGGAGCACCATTCTAGCAATGCACGTCCGGAGCTTGGAACTTGAACTCGTGGCCGAGCTCTACACTTCCCTGAAGATCGAAGGAATCACTCCGGACGAGATCGCTTTTGTGTGTCTCATCTTTAGTTGCAGCCACGCTGGAGATTTGGACAGAGGTGTGCACCACTTTAAGTCGATTGCCTTGGATCATGGCGTGGAGCCGAGCAAGCGAGAGTATGGCTGCTTGCTTGATCTTCTTGCCCGAGCTGGGCATTTGCGGGATGCTTTCGATCTCGTCGCCAACATGCCGTTTGAGCCGGATGTGGAGGATTGGAAGAGTTTCCTTGCATCTTGCAAGAGTCTCGATGATCTCAAAACAGCGTCCACTGCATCCAAATCATCGCTGGAGCTGGACTCACGCAGCTCTGTGCCTTATGTGTTGTTGACAAACCTTTGCACTCCAACTTCCGAGCAAAACGTTGGTTTCAGAATGTAAGGCTTGTGTCATTGTTGTTTTCGAGTTTTACTTTTATAACTTATGGGATTTTAAAAGTAAATTGCATTTCTAATTCCTTTTACTTCTTATGTAATTCATTTTCATCTAGATGTTGTGCTAAAACAATTTTTTAATTTGTATGGTATAAATAATTTATTCTGTCAAACTTCTAAAACTAAAAAATTCTTATTATCAAAATTGTTACTAAATATTTTAAAATGTTGTTAACATGCACTATGTTGATGACATTTTAAAGGCATTTGTTTTTAATGTCAAGCATAACATTTATGTTCAATATAACTGCTAAAATTTTATTGTAAAGCTTAATGAAGAAGAATAATTTTTTTAGTTCTACCTCCTTTGCATCTTCCTACATAAATCAATTATTAAATTTTAATAAGTTTCAAAATATTTTTACTATCAAATCAATGTAAGTTTTTATTGGTGCATAATTAATTACAGTATCTAGTGTTTTAAATTAAAATAAATTTTTAGTTCAAAAATAATTTTTATTTTTTAATTTATAAATTACTCATAAAATAATCAATGGTTAAAACTTTGGTGTTTTGATCCTAATTAATTTACATAGCATCACAATATAATTTACAACTAAAAGAAAAAAAAATTAAATAAACTCTCACTCAGTTTGGTTACCTAGTGACGAGGATGATATTATGGTTACAATGATTAATTTGAAATAAAAAACTAATTATTACAATCTCGATTGATTTAATTAAAAAAACTAGGAAATAATTTATCCTCCACTCTAACTTTATAAAAACAGTTTAACTACCTTTAATTTCAAAAATTTATACATTAAATTTTACTAACTTTTGTGATTTTTTCATTACATATATATGCCCTAAGTTATTAAGTATTTTCATTCTATTGTTTAATCTTTTTTATTTTTATATTAAATAAATTAATATTGTGAGTGCATGGAATATGGAAAGGGAATACAGAAATGTGCATATCAATTAACCCAAAAACCCTAGCTTATATACAGGAGCGAGTGGTCCGGATTGAAACCAATCCGACGGCTACCAAAATCCACTACGCTAATATTAGTATATGGCATCGTAGCCGTACACTTGGCCCTCACATCATCCCCTCCTCTCGGAATAATGGAAGGCCGTTAGGGTTCTCTTGTAGATAGGCCGGGATCTGGAGGAACGTCAGGAGGAGGCATCGGCGGATCTGTAGACGGTATTAACTGCTCCTGATCCCTTTGTATGAAGCGTTTTAACCGCTGCACATGCACAATCTCCGGAGGATCGGTTTGCTGAACGTCATGCCGAACCTCATAAACTTGCAGTCCAACTTGCCGCAACACTCGATACGGTCCTTTCCACTGCGCAAGGAGCCCCTTAGATAAACCACGTACCGTAAGATGGGGAAAACGAACTAACACCAAATCATTCACTTTGTACTCCACAGGTGGACGATGATGGGAGTTGTAGCGCCGTTGTTGTCCCACTTGTACGCGGCCTAAGTGTTCGGCAGACTCTGCTCGGACAAGTGGAAGAATGCTTGTCAAATACTAATCCCATGACCTAGCATCAGGAGCTCGTGGCAATCGCGAAGGTAAACCCAACTCTGTTGGTAATATTGGATCATGACCATATAGAAGTTTATATGGTGAAGCACCAATAGAACTTTGCACCCCTGTGACATAGGCATATCGAAGAGACGGCAAATAACCATCCCAATCCGAATGCTGGAAGTTCACATACTTCGAAATCATCCCTTTGAATGTCCGAACGAGCCGTTCCACCAGACCGTCTGATTGTGGATGATAAGCACTCGTAAAAGTGTGGCGTATCCCCAACCGAGATGTCAAAACATGAAATACCTCAGCCATAAATGTAGGACCAGTATCCGAAAGAATCCGCTCTGGACAGGAATGCTGGAACACCACTCGATTGAGGAGGAAGTATCCAACAGCAGTTGCAGAGGCGCTAGCAAGTTCACCAACTTTCACCCAACGAGTCAAGTAGTCAGAAGCAATAATAACATACTCATTGCCAGCAGTCGATCGTGGAAAAGGTCCCATAAGATCAAACGCCACAAACTCAAACGGACGGGAAACTGCAATTGACTCCAACCGTCCTTCCGCAGCACAAGGGGGAGTATTACGAGCTTGGCACCAAACGCAGCTACGCACATACCGGATAATATCACGTTGCATCTCCGGCCAATAGAAAGACCTGCGCAGCTTCTCGGTGACACGACGGTGTCCCATATGCCCACCTAGAACAGGAGAATCATGGTAGGCATGGAGAAACCACGGAATAAACACCGAAGGTACCACCAGTCGTAAATGATCATCAAGATCCGTCCCCACAAAATAAAGAAGGCCATCTTCAAGGCGATATTGAGAATGTAAATGCCGGAAAAGCAAGTCATCAGCAAGTGATGCAGGATTCTCAAACCCATCTCGAAGCCTTCGAATCCACGGCTCAATCTTTTGAGCCTCGCGAACCTCCTCAAGAGAAGGCAGATCTTGCTCTGCACCCTGTGGACACTGAACGTCAAGGACAGCAACCGCCGACGGCACAGAATCCTCATCTAGAAAATCCACAGATGCTGGAACAACAGGTTCGTCAGAATGATGAGAAGTGAGTGGAGAAGGAAGAGGAGCTCGAGAAAGGGCATCAGCATCAGCCATAGAACTCCCTGGGCGATGAACAACATCGAAATCATATATCTGAAGCTTCAAAGCCCATCGAGCCGTACGACCAACCAGGTTCTTCCGCTTCAATAATGAAGTAACAGCAGCATGGTCACCTTCAAGTAACGTCCGAGAACCATGTAGATATGCATGAAGTTTCTCAAAACCCCAGACTGCTGCTAAACACTCCTTCTCCGTCGTGGAGTAGTTCATCTCCGCTGGTTGTAATGTACGGCTTATGTATGCAATGGGATGGCGCTGACCAGGCACACTCGAGCTCTCTTGCATCAACACACCTCCAAGACCAATGTCAGAAGCATCCACGCACAAAATAAAAGGTCGAGTGTAGTCAGGATATGCCAAAACCGGAGGAGTCGTCAATAGCTCCTTGAGATCCACGAACGCCCGCTCACAATCCGGAGACCAGATGAAAGATGACGTTGATGACTTCAGCAACGTTCGCAATGGTGTAGTGCGATCGGAAAGATGATCCACAAAACGACCAAAATACTACACCTTACCCAAAAAGCGCTGCACATCATTCACACACTTCGGAGTAGGGAACTTTAGAACAGCCACAAGTTTGTCAGGATCAACTTGCAAACCCTCACAAGAAATACGGTACCCAAGATAAGTTGTGTCCTTGGACCCAAACACGCACTTCGACCGCTTCAGCTTTAAACCAACGTCGCGTAGCCGATCCAACACTTTACAAACATCACGAACGTGCTCCTCCCACGTCCCCTCCGAGTGGATCAAAACATCATCAATGAGGTCAGCAATCACCTCCAGCATATCGCAAAGAACCTCGTCCATCATCCGCTGGAAAGTTGCTGGAGCATTGTTCAAACCAAACGGCATCACCAAGAAGTCGTACAAACCAAATGGTGTACGAAAAGCAGTCTTAGGAATATCTTCTTCGGCCATCGGTACTTGCCAATACCAAGAAGCAAGATCTAGCTTGGTGAACCAACGACTCCGTCCCAGACGATCCAAGAGATCAGCAGTGTGAGGAAGAGGATACATATCTGGGATCGTCACTTCATTTAACGGACGATAGTCGATGCAGAAACGAATACTCCCATCAAGCTTCGTCACAAGATGAGGTTCACATGCCCAAGGACTCCGTGACTTCCGAATAACACCCTTTTCCAGCATTTCCTTGACGTTTGCTCGTAAAATTTTGATCTCCTTAGGTGACCGACGACGAACAGGAACCTTGATTGGACGAGCATCCCCGGTTGGAATTGGATGACGTGTGGCAATCTTGGCCCCAGACGATAGGTCAAATTCAAAGAGATCAGAATACTCCTTCATGAGCCGGTCAACTGCTACAACACAAAGATCGTCGTAGGGATCGGAAAAGGGAAAAACAGAACAAGATGAAAACACAGAAGGAAAGAGTGGGGAAACAAAAGTAATGGAAGCAGAGGTAGAAGTAGAGGGACGAAGAGGTATGGAAGTGAGAGGAATGGATGAAACATAAGGAAGTATGAGACAAGGGGGAGAAGCCTCAAAGTCACACTTGGCATGATTGCGCTGTAACCAATCCATACCAAGAATGAGGTCAAAAGCTTGACTCGGCACCACCCGCAACGACTGCAACTCAAGTTCGAGATCGCCCACACGCACAACCAGGTCCACCTCATCCCGTGCACATGCATGTGTACGGCCGTTGCCATAAAGAATGAAAACTGGTTCTGCCGCACGACGCAAGTGTAGACGACAACGTGTGGCAACAGGTCGAGCAATAGAAGATAAACTCGAACCTGTATCAACCAACACGGAGAGAATAATAGGAGACTTCTTGTTATAAAAACGAGCTTGGAAAGTAAACACTGGATGAACTAGTGCCGAGTGAACCCCTTGATGATACTCCCAAAAGAAAGATGGAGGGGTCACTGATTTATTTGCGCAAGGTCCCTCCGTTACTCGCGCGACTCCTCGTTTCCCAGATGCATCTCGGTGTCCAGACCTTCCACTGCAGCAACACCTAGGGGACGTTGCTGATGCCAAGGTCTCCACCCAGGAAATGGAGGTCGCCAATCCAGAAAACAACAGCAACGCCGATAAGTATGACCAACTTCATCACACGCCCAGCAGCGAACATCACGGCCACGACCACGTCCTCGCGCTTGTCCTTGGACTCGAGCAGCAGCAGCATCAACCTCCATTGGAACAGGACCATCACCCATAGGAAGTGGAGCGGAAGGACGTGCAGCGAGAAGTGGAAGAGGCGACGTCTCATAACGTTGTGCCAAGCGAAGAGCATCGTCAAGGGTGGCAGGAGCAAGTGCATGCACAAGTCCGACAAGATCTTGACGAAGTG